AGAAATTTCTTTGATTTTCTTTATTGGCATATTTTTTTCCTACAGACATAACTGCATGAAAAGTTAAATGACAACCAAAAAGTTATTTTCTGAATAAAGACATAGGATACCCAAATAATCCATGGGCAGTGGAGATGTGGAGATGGATTTGTATCCAGCTGTTGGGGGGGGTGTTCTATCAGTGTTGAGCAGATCTTGTTTTCGCTCTTTTTCTGTCTGCTTGCTCTGTCGATGGTTGAGAAAGGGGGTGTTGAAGTCTTAAACCTTGATTTTTGATTTTTAGCTCTTTAGTTCTATGGGGTTTGCTTCACTTTTGGCGTCTCTGTCGTTGAGATATATATGCACACTGGAATGAAGTACCTTCTCCATAAACTGACACTTTTATCTCTTTATAAGGCCCCTCTCTGTGTCTGGTAATTTTCCTTGCTCTAAAATATGTTGCATCCAATATTAATGTAGTTACTCCTGTTTTCATTTTATAAATGTGTGCTTTGTAAGTCTCTTTCCATCTGTCACCTGCTGTCGGCCTGTATAATTTTATTTAAAGTGAGTTCCTTTTCTATAACAGTTGGGTCATTTTTTAAATCCAATCCTTTTAATTGGCTTATTTAAATCATTTGCACTTGAAGTTTCTCATTTTTTCCTACCTTCTGTACATTTGTTTGCATTATTTATTGCATTTTCCAGTTCTAAAATTTACATTTGGTTCTTTATATCATCTATTTCTTTGCTGCTGTTGCTTTTTGTTCTTTTAAAGCATATTAATAATTTCTTTTGAAGTATTCCTATCAAGAATTTTAAATTTGTCGGGTTATTCTAGCACTTAGTTTTAATATTGGCCTTTATTCATCTGGTTACAATCTTTGTGACTCTTCTATGTTAAGTTTTTTATTCTGAGGTTCTGGGTTGGTTTCTGCAGTTCAAGTCTGGGATACATGCCACAAAAGGAAATCTGAGTAACGCATCATCTCCTTATTCCTCAAGTCCTTAGCCCTCGTGAGTCTTCCTTCTTTACACCTTCCAGGGTCTTTGTATGTTTTGTGTTTAATTTTCAAGGTGTTTAACTTGCACTTGGAAGAATATAGAAAACAGCTTCCCAGTCAAGAAATTTTCAACTGGATTTTAACTAAATATAATAAATTATTCGAAGCAATAAGGGAAGTTATATCAACATAAACAAATACAAGACAACAGCAGTAAGAGATAATAATGTC